ACATGGCTGAGGGGGTGGGGGGTTGTGGGGGGATAGGGCGGTGAGGAGAGGGGTCAGCAGTGATGGAAAAACATTTGGAAGAAGGAGGGAAGCACATGTACAAATTCACAAAAGAGGAATGTTGCAGACTGAAACATGCATGAACTAAGCATGTGTGTGTGTGTGTGCGCGTGCGTGCGTGCGTGTGTGTGTGTGTGTGTGTGTGTGTGTGTGTGACCTTGGCGTGGCCTGGTGGTAAAGTGGGGCGTCAGGAGAGTCAGTGTGAGAGCAGCCAAGCGTCCTCCCTCAGATTAGCAGGCTTTATTACTGCCACCAACTGCTGGCCTGACAAATCCTCTTATTTCATTTTACCTTCCTTTACCTCTGCCTTGCTCTTTCTCTTTTCCTCACTCTTTTATTCCCCTAAAAGCTCCATCCCCCTCTTTTTCTCCCCACTCTGCGGTAGCTTTGCATGCTCTACCTTACACCCCCCCCCCGCCCCGCTCACATTGTTACAGCCCTATTTTCTATTTCCTCCGTTGTCTCTCCTCATTGTCTTTCCCTCTCCCATACTGCTCTGCCCATTCCTACACAGCTCTTTTTTTCTGCCTTCCTCGACTCCACCTCTTGCTCCCCTCCTCTCCCTATCTCCCCCCCCCCCCCTCTCCCTCCCTCTCTATAGTGTGATGAATCTGTAGACAGGGGCTAATAATTGTACTTCAGCCCAAGTGCTCATTTTTCTTTGTGTTTGAAAGCCGTGACAGGCAGGAGCTCTTTTTTCTCTTCCTCCCCCGTCCCTCCTCTTTCTCCCTCTCTCCCTCTCTTTTCTTTCTATCCTCACACAATGGGTGAGTAAAATAACTCAGGGTTTACAAGGTCATGCTGTCTAGCGGTGAGGACACGCTGGGGATTTGGGGCTGGAAGGATTTCCTCAAAGGTGCCGTGTTGAGACTTCAATAAAAACAGAGAAAGTTATAGATTGCACGAGCAGATCTTCGGGGGGGAATAAGTGCATTTGATAGTGAGCACGCTTCACTGAATCACAGCTATCTGGATCCAAATGTTATTAATGCTGCTTCAAAGAATCTGTATAAAAGCGCAAGACAAAGATTTACTTTCTTGCATTTGCCAACAACTCCAGCGTCTTCGTGTTACAAAACGTTCATCATTTGCAAAGAGTGAGCTACTTAAAATGCAGTACTTCCTGTCATATAAAACATGCACATCTTATTTGTAGTGCATTTCTGAGCATCGGTTGTTTTTCTACTTTAGTGGTTAGTTACATCTCAGAAAGAAATGTATCTGGCACAGCAAGACGGGGCAGCCCCCTTGCACTGTTTACCTGAACAGCCTCACGCACACACATTCACACACTTCAAAAGCAAGGAGGCTGTAGGGGTTTTGTCCTCCTAAAAGTCAATTCAAATAACATGTTTAAACATTTGCAACACAACTTTTACTTAATTATTTTGAAAGAAAGGTTTTTAAATGTATTAATAAAGGATGTCAAATCCAACCAGTAGCTCTTTGCTGTATGCTGTCCCCTCTGCCTCCCTCTTTCCATCTATGTACTCTATACTTAAATCTTCAAATACAAATTACACACATGTAAAAAAAGAAAGGAAATTGTAATATGAAAAAAAATACAATAGTATAGTAATTCAATACAATAGTATTTTTTTCAGGCATTTTTTTAAAGCAATGCAGAGAAGTACAGCTTTTTGTTATGAATGGAAGGCCATTCCAGATGTGTGTTCCCCTGAAATGGATGCAAACTTGAGCTCTACGAGTCAGACACTAACGGCCCGTCCACACAGCGGCTTTGGAAAAAGCTTGCCGGCGGGCGTGTCTGAAGCTCGACCAACAACCAATCACATGAATCTCCCGCCCCTGACACACAAGCAGCGGTTTGATTGGCTAGAGCTTGTACTGGCATATGATTTGATTGGCTGACGCTTCCACCGAAAGCTTCAGAAGCTTCAAAAGTTGAACATTGCTAAACTTTTGCAGCCTGAAATGCCAGGAAAGCTCCGCTCTGCTTCCCACAATGCAGTTCGGCGAAAAGTGACGTCACCCCATTCAAAGTGAATGGGCAGAAGCGTTGGAAGAAGCTTCCAACGCCGCTGTGTGGACGGGCCGTACGGGGGGTTGGGATTTGATAGTGTGTGTTTCATAAAAATAAACGTGTTAATTATTATGTTTTATAAGTATGTATTGAAGTGCATAGGAATGATCCTTTAACCTGAAATGATTTTGTAAATTAAAACACACATTGTATAAAGACTCATTTCATAAACTTTAAGAATCTGAAGCCTGTTAAATAAATAAGAAAAGGTCAACTATATTATAAAGGGAAAGAAGCCCACCAAAAATGTTATAAAATGAACTACTGTACCTTGAAGATTTGTTTTCTTTAAATATGATAAATAAATGATCTACTGAGGCTGCGTGCTAAAATGCAGTGTGCAGATACTGCCAAGACTAATGTTTTCATTGACTCAGCAGTATTACTTTATGAAAATTGATCAAGAGTTGTAATCACAATATCATCCTCAAAAGGGAGAGGTGGAAAGAGAGTAGGGGGAGGGGGAGACCGGAGAGCAAGACTTTATTGCCTGCTGTAGTTAGATGGTAAATTTCCTCCTGGCAGATATTTATTGAGTTAGTTGAGTCTAGAGAGAGCTTTAACATTGATTGTGATCATTAAATATATCCGCTCCAAATGGCAACATGGCATTCCCTCAGTCAATGGAGCCAATAGGAGTAGAACCAAGGCATAATCCAAATCAATCCTCTCATAATTATTCCTTGAGAGGTGAAATTAATCACAAGAAGAAATAAAAACAATAATGGAAAATGAAATGGTCAGTCGTAAACAATTACGGCCCCAATTGAAATAAACTCAGTTGAAGGGAAAAATCAACTGTAAATCCAACTAATTAAAATAACATTCTAATGTACATTGGTTATTTGGTTTGCACAGGCTTTCAGTTTTTATATTGCCTTGTTGTGTTAGAAGAGAGATGAAGTGACAGAGAAATGAAGAGAGACAGGAATTCAAAGTGTGTGTGTTTGCAGGCGTGTGTGTGTGTGTGGTGTGTGTGTGTGTGTGTGTGGCCTCCACTGTTGGGTCAAAGGATCAAGGTCCTACACTTGTGAGAGCCGTGCTCCTCTCTCCCCCCCCCGCTCGCTGAGAGGAAGTGTAGCTTATTGATTAGCTATCAGATGATTCCGATAGGGCCTGATCGATATGGACTTTGTATGAAAGCCAGCAGGACCCTCCTCTCCACTCAGGCACACACCCAATGGATCGGCCTCTGCAGTGCACAGACGTCTGTGTTTGTTTGTTCTCCTGAAGATGCCTCCTTTGTGTTCTCCAGTCCGCCCACCCACCAATCGAAGGCTTCCTCAAACGGCCTGTTTCCTATAGCTCCACTTTTATATAGTTGTCATTGATAAGCCAGACATGCAGGGATAGCTGAGCACGAGGCCTTCATCAGTGTCAGTTATGTATTCCTCTTTTAGCAGGGAGGGAGGTGAGGGAGAGGAAGACGTCTCAGGTGTGGAATTACTCTCTTAGGATCATCACTGAAGCAGGTTGTGAAACTGCAATAAATAACCATCTTAAGAAGTTATTCAGTCTAGAAATCTTTTTGAATACAATTATTTCAAAAGCATTGAAGTGTGTCATGTTACCATAGTCAGAGACATCTTGAGAGATAAGGCAGGAGTTGTCTTTACTATATCCAGTGGTGGCTCAGCCCAACAGGAGTGTTTTTTTGGAAACGACAAAACACAGCAGGGCCACTGACTAAATAGGTCTCTGGGGTTCTAACAACAAGCAGAGGGAAACTAAACAGCTGACACGCTAAACACAAACTAACCGGGAATATGTTTGCAGTCAGACACTAGTCTCACTCTCGAAGAGGTGTGTGTCATGGTGAAAATATGTTATATAATTCATTTTAAAAAGGAAAAAAATAGCTAATTCTCATGTGTGCACAACATTATTTTAAATGTAGCAGAGATTGAAGTCACAGCCGGATCAGCACCACGGACAGCGGTCGTGAGACTCCTGTGTGTTGTTTTATTACGTATTTCAACAAGGACCATGCATACAAACACATCATCTCAGAAAAGAGAAGAGATGAATTATACCAGATTTGAGCTAATAGCTCATTTCCATCGGCAGTCCTTGTTATCAATTACACAATTACAAATATAACACTGCTGTTTACTCTTTTTCAGTATGGCCACTTTCATCCATGGGTCACAGCGTTGTTCCGACCCTGAATAGTTAGAGCAATCTGCTTGGTTTCCCACTCTCCTGCTGGGTACATAAAAGACTGCGAGTGCTCTTGCAGTGTGTGTGTGTGTGTGTGTGTGTGTGTGTGTGTGTGTGTGTGTGTGTGTGTGTGTGTGTGTGTGTGTGTGTGTGTGTGTGTGTGTGTGTGTGTGTGTGTGTGTGTGTGTGTGTGTCCTGTGCTGTGCTGTGAAAGGACAGTGATAAGACAGCTGTACTCTGGGTGCAGGACAGATTATGACGGGGCAGGACACTGGTATCAGTTTCTCTGCCGGCCATGGCTGTGTCAAGGCCCAGCATGTGTCTGGCTATATGTGTGAGTGTGTGTTCTGTGAGTGTGTCTGCATCGGAGGGACAGGACAAATAAAAAGGCAGTTCCGCTGGTCTGACTGTGTGTCTATGTGTGGGCCAAAAGAAGAACAGAGTTGTTCTGAATGTGTTATTTATGATTGACTGTTTGATCTTTCTTTTGCACATACGTCCTGTCATAAAGCATTTGAGCAAAGCTTGGAGAAAATGTTTTATTTAAAATGTGTCACTAAACTCTGTGTAATGTTTTGGCTTTTTTAATACACAATTAATACTTTTTCCCCTCAGAAACAGTCCCTCTTAGTCATACTCCAGAGTTGCTCTCTTGTCAGCTACACAAATATCTCCCCCTAATGGCCTCCAGATGAATGCACCTCCACTTTTGTTCTTAAATAATTTCACACACATCTTACTGTTAAACAGATTTTTATTAATTGTTTTTTTCCCTTTTTGTTTTTTCTTACAGATGTCATGACACTGGAATGCTGATGTTTCAAGAGCAACCTCAACACCCAGACTGCCATAAAGCACAATGTCTCAAAAGCGACCCAACAGTGGCTTCAAGGCGACCAATCCACAGCAAACCCCGAAGCCAGATTCAATGTTAAAACATTGATGATAAATAATGACAGGAGATGGAAATCCCTCACATTCATCTACTCAAACAACAGGGGAAGAAACACAGAAATTCAAGGTCCTGGACTCTGGAAAAAAAGATTTTCCTCATACTCAAGCGGACATGGATCATCCCACAAATACCTCCAAATTATCATTTAGATTTACCAGAGTATAGATTAAATAAAAGAACAAACGATTATGCCCACACCCCTTTAGCACATGCCCAGAATTAAGATATTGTAAATATTGTACAGAAAGTGAATAGGGACATTGATAAGAAATACAATTATTGCAGAATAATGTATATAGTCATAAGAATCATACCTCTAGTGTGTTTATATATTCATGAGTGTCACATGCCCATTACTCCTTTTTTCTTCTATGCCCAAAAAGATTTAGCACAATGATTAACCAACGATCTCTGCATTTCAAAAGGAAACATCTTCGTAGAACTAGAGACTGAATTTAATTGGGAAGACACAATATTCGCCATTCAGTGCACTACTGCAGCAAACCGATGCATATGCCATGGAGTGTATGCTTATTAGGTAACCCTGTATTCTTAGCAAGACAGGTCAGTAGCTTTTATGAACTTTTAAAAAGACAATTTATAAATGAAAAATAATCAAGAAAAGAAAACACAACTATAACACATCCCTGAATTTGTCCTAAATCTACTCCCACCCCCCACCTCCCATTGTAAACTATCACAGCAGAGCTGAACACAACTTTAATTTATTCAGTAGATTGTATATGAGACCCCCTTCTGTACTGTATATGTAATGTGTTTTAGCCCCCGTAGTGACGTGACATATCCAGATGGACTTCTGTGCTGTGGCAGCTCTCTTGTATTGTGCAGTCAGAATACAGTTACCTTTTATTCAGTTCATACCTAACTGGACATGACCGTAACCCACCATCCTTCCTCTTTGAGATTATTTGTCTAGTCCTCCACCTCCTCTTTCTCCTCCCCCCCTCCCCTCTGTCCATCAGAGGGCCTGTATGCCTGCTGACCCGTCTGCCACCAGGCGCTCGCTCAGCTCCCACAGGCTGGCGGCGCTGCTCTGGTCCTCGGCCTGGCTGGACGGCAGGCAGCGGAAGCAGTTGTTGAAGTACATGCCGCCCAAGCCCTCCAGCTCCGGAGCCACGGCACAATACACCGTGGTGGCCGCCCCTTGTTGCTACGGAGAAACACACAGAAAGAGATCGGAGGTCAGCGGGCAACTCATGAGACAACGAGATGGCCTCAGCCTGCGGGAGGAGACAAAAATAAAGAGAACACATTCACTGACTCACACATTAGGACATGTCCTGTCCAGAGAAGAAGAGAAAGGAACGAACAGCGGACACCAACTACAATGTTATGTCCTCTGTGAGACATACACGATAGACAAGAGACAGCAAGACCGAGTGTCAACAGGAAAGAAAAAAAGACTGCACACGCTGTCTCTCGCTCTGCAGCCCATGATGACTGGGTCATATTACCATGGGAGCAGCATAACCCCTTACTGTACATATATTTATATACATATATTTATTTATTTATTTCTCTATCCGGTGTGTACAGGACTTCTGGCTATATGGGACCATGAGAATGCTACAGATGTAAAGACGGGACAATCTGAGGACATGGAAATTACACCAGCTTCTGTCTGTGTGGGAATCAGCAGGAAACAACAGCTTTATGGATCCTGTAAAAGTGTTAATGCTATGGTTATGAAATGTATATTTTCAGATGATGTGTATATGGGTGCAGCCAGGCTTTCAAAGTTAAGAATATGTATTGGAAATGACGCAAGTACGTGTTTAAATCAGACGTTGGTTGTATAGATTTGTTCACATACAGACGAACACGCCACAAGGCTTTTTCTCAAGCTCTCTCAGTAAGTCTTCTCATTTTTAGTTTACATTTAAAGATCACTCAAGTCTCAACCCAGACATTGACTCTGTTTCATGTTGTCTAAAGCCGAGAGACAAACTGAAAAAGTTATAAACATTATTTGGACGCAACCTGCTAACTTCTCTAATGCACCATGTCCCATCAGTCAGTAATTAGTAGGGATATTCTTGGAGGATGGAGATTTCTGTGACATTTGAAAATGAATGTTAAAACTGCAGCAGAATAAACATGTCGGATGAGAATTACACACATAACCCAACTGCTCAAAGAGGATCTTTCATGTTGCAGCTCGGGCTAAAAGCTGCTGTGACAGCTTCCCTGCAAACTCCGGGGCTGGAGACAACTTCTATACGGCCACATGAAATGGCTCGCCTCTTTATCTCCAATGAGAGGCAGAGAGAGTGAGAAGGGGGGGTGGGGGGGCAGAGAGAGTGAGAGGGAACGCTGATGTGGAGGCTGAGGACTAATGTTTAGCACAGAGCACTGGCACGCTGTGAGACAACCCCTTGTACGTAGCAGTCAAACATGGGCAAGACACACAAACATACACACATGCATAATGGAGTCACATTACATGCCAACTGTTTGAACAGCTTCCTAAAGCAGCTGTGGAGACAAACACATATGAAGTGGAAAGATCCATTGAGGTCTAAAGCATTTATACTTTCACATGTACAAGTACAAAAATATGCATATAGATGCAATGCAATGATTGAAATACACACACCAACCAGATTCCAAGAAATATTTTTCTCATTAACACACACACACACACTTGCACACAACCCCCCCTCTAAGCTCTTCGTAGTAAACTTCCGCCAGTAGGAGCTCTGGGTTGGTAACGTCGCAGCAGCAGATTGAGTGTGTTTGAAGTGCAGTGTGATGAGAGAGCTGGTAAACAGCAGATGAAACGGCATGCATCTCTGTGTGTGCCGCTGTCTGTCTCACCTGCCAGATGGGGCGATAACTTCATCCACATCACATGTCGCCATATCAAGACAGACAAATGCCAAGCAGTTGTCTCTGAGTTGCAGGTTCACACGCGCTCAGTTCTAACTCATCTCCCTCGCTTAGGGCATCTGATTTGGTTCGTCTGAAAGCTAAATGCCTTTTAAACTCCACTGAAGATTTCAGTGCTGCATTGCTCCGACTCGCTGACGCCCGCCTTGAACTTGGCTGACTTTCAAAGCAGTTTGTTTTGTGTTCAGTTACCAAACACTGGTGCTGCTGCAAGTTAAAAAAACTGATAGAAAAAAAACATTACATTTCATAATCCAGATGGATGTGGCTGACTTCATAATGATGACTTCAGTATTTTTTTACTAAGTTGCTTTTTATCTATGCGCTTTTTTATGCAACAGTCTAGTTAGTGGTTATATGGAGCAGTACATCCACTGTTAGTGCTGTGTCTCCACCAATGTGCTATCTTATTGGTGTTTAGCTCATCCCCTCACCACTTGACCCTGTGACCTCTGCAGAAGATAAGGCTGATGAGATTAGGCATTAACATGCTCAACCACCCACCACAGCCATCTATCATTGTGTGTGTGTGTGTGTGTGTGTGTGTGTGCTGTGTGTATCTGTGTGTGTGTGTGCTGTGTGTGTGTGTGTGTGTGTGGTGTTGTGTGTGTTGTGTGGTGTGTGTATTTCCAGATAGGAGGCAAGGGGTGTGCGCGATAGTGAGAAAAGAACAAGAGGGGGTGTCCAACATTTTCAATACACGCACATTACACAATTTGACAAAATCCACATACAGTATTCATATGTGCATGTTTGAACACGAGCATGCGCCTGCACACAAGCACGATCACATACTCAAATAAAAACTTGGGACAATCTACATCGAAGGTTACATCAATGAAATTTGTGCAATCATAACAGCCATTTCTAACCCGTGTTAAAGTTGTAGAGTATGCCTGTAAATGTTGCTGTCTACAAACTGATGGATTTCGCTGTGTCTTTCTATCTTCTGCAACTAAATGTGAAGCATTACTTGTGTACAGTAGTTTCAGAGAGAAATCTGTGGTGTTTTAGAGTTGATCTAATACTACTACTCAGAGCTGTAGATTCTGACTAGCCTGACAGGTGGACTTGACATGAGATTTAAAATAGTTCTAACACAATAATAATATGCCGCAATTGGTTGTGTTGAGGGTACTGCAAAGGTTTGTATCTGTAGTTAATAAGTGCATTTACTTAATTATTGTGATTCAATTAATGATGGTCACATGCCCGCCTATTGCTGTGCAATTGGCCCTTTCAGAAAGCCACATTGATTCACCGACATACATTTATCGCTGTTTCTTATTATTCTTCAAACTATCTGATCATTTGCAGTGAGGAGACTTAGCTTACTCAACAAAGACTCCAGTGAAGACTTACGACTTGACCAGGACTGATTTTGATTTAGTTGAGACTTCGCTTGAACATTCCCAAAAGAAAAAGAGCTCTGCTATAACCACAATGATTTGGGGAGGGGAGAAGATGGGACAATGATATGCACCAAAACAACACTAATCTAAAATGATCCTCTATGCTAAAAATAAAGATTGCCAAGCAATATGACAAACCAAGGAGCAGGACAGTTCTGTGTATTTCTGTATATGTGGAAATGAACATCTAAATGGTGAGAAAAATACTCAAAAACACCAACAAATAAGCTGACTGCAGATTAAGGAGCAATGAGCCTGCACTTAGCCTGGGATCTACTACTACGGCTCTGGAACTGCTCTGGGATCAGATCCAAGTCTTCCAATCTCAATATGACTCTCATGGAAATCATGGACTTGCAATAGAAATGCCCTTGTATAGCGTTACGCAATAACCAGTTGCTGAAACTCCTTAGCGTATTCAAAAGCAAAAAGGGCTATGTGGGGAGATGTGATGTTGTTGAATTAACAGTATTGTTACTTTGCTGTGTTATGTTCTGTGTCTTCATCAACCAAGTTGTACTCAGCCGTACGATCTTTCTCTGACCCTTTGCATGTGACCCTCACCCCCCCCCACATCTGTAGTTATGACAATCTCCCTCTGACCTGGATGTAAATAAACCCAGTACTGTAGAGCAGTCTGTTTTTTTGGCCCATCCCTGTACATACAAAGTGTAAATACAAACAGCTATGCATGCTGAAAACCTAGCAATTCTTTCAGGTACTTTTATAATCCCCAAATTCTCATATGGCATGTGTCTAAAAAAAAAGAATAATTTAAAAAAGGTTTATAAAAAGAAAAGATAAAAAAAAAAGGTTTTAAAATATGGAGTTGATATATTGTCAGGCAATATCCTCTCTTGGACAGTGTGTGCAGAGTCTTCCTGTTTCCTTACTCCTGTGGGTGGTTCTCTTCCTTTGCCTGTCCTTCTGTGTTTCTGCTCACCATCTGTGTCAGTGGTTGTCAGTGGCATTTGTACAGCAGCGAGGGTTGAGGCAGAGCAGAGAGGAGCAGCTGACCTATGTGATGGCACTCCAATTCAGCAGCAGTGCTATATGTTGGCAAAGCTCTTAATGCCTGGGACACCATTTGAGAGGTTCAGCTCCTGGCATGCACTACAGCTCATCACAGCATATGTCCATGCTTGTCATGTGAAGGCCCTCTGGATGTGCAGCAGGTCAAAAAACGGTTTTGGATGGAAGAAAAATAATTTGCTTACAATTTTTGGTACTTGAATTATGGAAGCTGTCAATCAAAGACAAGCAGCCTCCTGGTATTTGAAGTCACCTCATTGATACTATTTCACCCTATTTAAGAAAACGGTAAACTACAGATTTGTTTTCCTTCATCTATAAGCGGTAAAAAACCTTAATTCTAATGGTACTTTTCAATCACAACTTATTTTCTACAATCCAATGTCATGAGGCTACAGCATGAATTGGGAAGTGTTTCCTTGCGTATTGCCACAGTGAGTAAAGGAGCAGGAGGAGTGCAGTTTCTGCCCTCAGCCCTCGGCCTCGTGGGACTAGCTTTCCTGAAAATGGGAATTATCAAAGGGATTGTGATTCTGTTTCAGAAATGTTTTGTTTTTTCAGCCTGTGATGTTTCAAATAAATGGAGGTGTCTGATTTTTAATCTGTGCTCAAGATATTTTACATTTAATAAATAACCATTGAAATCAAAACGTCCTGTGTGTGTGTGCAGTTTGTGTGTGTGTGCTGTGTGTGTGTGTGTGTGTGCGTGCGTGCGTGCGTGCGTGCGTGCGTGCGTGCGTGCGTGCGTGCGTGCGTGCGTGCGTGCGCGCGCATACATCTTTGCTCGGCGGTGGTAACCTCTGCGAGCTGACGGCCC